CAAGATTGAAGTTAATTCTCAGGTCACAAACAGTTGATAAACTCTTAAACTAAGGTTTTGCTTTTATGCCAGTATCCTTCAACTCAAGTGCAAAAGGGAAGTGGACAGAAAGAGAGAGGCTTACAAGCAGGATTGCTTGGCAAGCCTCTTTTTCAGAACTCTCTGGGAGGGCTCCTTGGCAGTGAAGGCTCAGGCTTCTGTGAGTTCATATCACAGCCATAAAGTTCTTCGGAGGGAGAAATAAAGGTCATTGTACAATCCTCATTTTAGTGACGGCAGTGCTCCTGCACACTGTTGCATTTAGCTAACAATGCATTTATGTACTTGGTATTCAAGCAAGTGCAACAACTTGGTTTTATTCTTTCTGAGTTACCCAGCCTAACAGCTGGGATTGAGGCTTTTTCAGAGGCATTAGGGCAGGTTGGTCATCTTGCTACTTAATAATAACTCCCCCAAAAGCAGGGAAGTTCAGTTCCAGAATGTCATTGTATGTACATCTCTTCTAGTGTGACCCAAATTCTGGATGGCGTCGTACAACGATGATGTTTAACTCATGCAGTTTAGTGGAGGGTGGGGGAAGGGGCGGGATAGCCATACAGTTGGGTGCTGTCGTGTTTGTAGACTAACATCTTTTTAAAGGAAAAGATCCAGAGTTGTCTAACTTCATTTTGAAATACATTTTGGTACCTGCTGCTGTTTAGGGAGCTTATTGCTTTTGAGTAGCCATGTTAGAATGATGTAAAGTTTGAGTATCTGTGTCCCATTTATGTCATAGGCATAACACACACACACATTTTATCAAAGCTAATGTTAAAATAAAATAAAATATATATATAGGTTGGTGTCATAAATATAAAGGGAAGGGTAAACCCCTTTGAAATCCCTCCTGGCCAGGGGAAAGCTCCTCTCACCTGTAAAGGGTTAAGAAGCTAAAGGTAACCTCGCTGGCACCTGACCAAAATGACCAATGAGGAGACAAGATACTTTCAAAAGCTGGGAGGAGGGAGAGAAACAAAGGGTCTGTGTGTCTGTCTATATTCTGTCTTTGTCGGGGATAGACCAGGAATGGAGTCTTAGAACTTTTAGTAAGTAATCTAGCTAGGTACGTGTTAGATTATGATTTCTTTAAATGGCTGAGAAAAGAACTGTGCTGAATAGAATAACTATTTCTGTCTGTGTATCTTTTTTTTTTTTTTTTTTTTTGTAACTTAAGGTTTTGCCTGGAGGGGTTCTCTATGTTTTTGAATCTAATTACCCTGTAGGTATCTACCATCCTGATTTTACAGGGGGGATTTCTTTATTTCTATTTACTACTATTTTTATTAAAAGTCTTCTTGTAAGAAAGCTGAATGCTTTTTCATTGTTCTCGGATCCAAGGGTTTGGGTCTGTGGTCACCTATGCAAATTGGTGAGGCTTTCTATCCAACATTTCCCAGAAAAAGGGGGGTGCAAGTGTTGGGAGGATAGTTCATTGTTCTTAAGATCCAAGGGTCTGGGTCTGTAGTCACCTAGGCAAATTGGTGAGGCTTTTTACCAAACCTTGTCCAGGAAGTGGGGTGTAAGGCTTTGGGAAGTATTTTGGGGGGAAAGACTCCTCTAAACAGCTCTTCCCCAGTAACCAGTATTAGTTTGGTGGTGGTAGCGGCCTATCCAAGGACAAAGGGTGGAATATTTTGTACCTTGGGGAAGTTTTGACCTAAGCTGGTAAAGATAAGCTCAGGAGGTTTTTCATGCAGGTCCCCACATCTGTACCCTAGAGTTCAGAGTTGGGGAGGAACCTTGACAGTTGGTAAAAGAGTGTCTGTACATAGAATCATGGAACTGGAAGGGACCTCGAGAGGTCATCTAGTCCAGTCACCTGCACTTAAGGTAGGACTAAGGATTATCTAGACCATCCCAGACAGATGTTTGTCCAACCTGCTCTTAAAAATCCCCAATGAAGGAGATTTCACAACCTCCTAGGCAATGTATTCCAGTGCTTAATCACCGTGACAGGAAGTTTTTCCTAATATCCAACCTAAACCACCTTTGCTGCCATTTAGGCCCGTTGCTTCCTGTCCTATCATCAGAGGTGAAGAAGAAGAAGAAGAAGAGATTTCTCCCTCCACCTTGTAACAACCTTTTATGAGCTTGAAAACTGTTATGTCTCCTGTCAGTCTTCTCTTCTCCAGACTAAACAAACCCCATTTTTTCAATCTTCCCTCTTAGGTCATGTTTTCTAGACCTTTAATAATTTTGTTTGCTCTTCTCTGGACTCTCTCCAGTTTGTCCACATCTTTCCTGAAATGTGGCGCCCAGAACTGGACACACTATTCCAGTTGAGGCCTAATCAGTGCGGAGTAGAGCGGAAGAATTGCTTCTCGTGTCTTGCTTACAACACTCCTACTAATACATCCAAGAATGATGTTTGCTTGTTTTGCAACAGTGTTACGCTGTTGACTCATATTTAGCTTGTGATCATCTGGGTATAGTGCTTAGCTTGTTTACAAATATAAAGTTTAGTTTTTAAAAGTCATATGATACATAGAGCACATAATCAGCAATAACCCCAATTTAGGTGAATCAATTTAACAATACAGTTTAGATATCCGAATACTCAGGTACATCACTCTTGAAAAGTTGTGCAGAGATTTGGTCGTGGAAAACAAAATCTATCAATGAGTGGAGATTGTCCCTCAGTAATTGAGAATTAGGTCGGTTGTCCATTTAGAAAATACGATCCACGAGGAAAGTATTTGTTACTTTCCTGACTGCGCTTCTCAGCGGCACTCCAGCTCATCCCTCCTGGTATTGCCGATGTCCAGTGATGTGTTCTATGTAGATGTTCCTCGACCATCTACATATTCATCTACATGTTCATCGTCGGACACCATGAGTTGCCACATCAGCCGAGTGTAGCGTTAACCGAATCCATATTATCTCCGCACTCGCTCCTTACTGGGGTCCCATGCGCCAAGGACTCTGACAGTCAGTGCGTTTGTCTGGACCTGGTAACCCTTTGTTCTCAAGGTTTCGGCCAGAGGGGCATATTTCTCTACCTTTCAAGCTCTGGCATTGTAGAAGGCCAGGATCCTGTTCTTGAAAGCCATTGTGATGTCCACCATGATCTTCTTCCGGTCCTTGCTGGTGATGACAATGTCTGGTTGCAGTTGGCTGTTGGTTCCGGGGATGGCGGAGTTTACGGCAACCTTCCCCACTGGTGGCGGGATGGCTCTGGCCAGGCGACCTTGGATGGCATTGTGTTGCAGCTGCCAAGCTCTTGAATGGGGCTTGCAGCTACACAGGACGTGGGGTAGCGTCTCGTTGGCGTAGCCGCACTTCCCGCATCGCTTGTCCCTAATCCCATGGTGTGGACAGCTCCGTTCAGTGGGACGCGGTTGAGCTGGGCCCTGTGGCTGCACTTCCAGTTGGCAAATGGGGTGAAGCTGCTCCCAGGGAGGAAGTGGTTGCTGGGTCCCACTTGCACGTCACCTCAAATGCCTTGCCCTGGTCCGGCTTCCGTTTCAGGTTTTCCACGTAGTGGCGCAGGTGGCATCCTTCAGGGTCCTCTCCAGCATGGTTCTAGCTCTCGGAGTGATGATAGTGTGATCTGTATTCTTCAGCTGTGGCACCAGGCCTCCCAGCTCCTGGCATTCCTCGCATCACATCCAGTGGCAGCCGATATGTTTCTCCAGTCGTCGCGTAGCGTTGCGGGCATGAGTCCAGAGTAAAGCCGAAGTCAAGAGGAAGACTCATAGACTTTAAGGTCAGAAGGGACCATTATGATCGTCTAGTCTGACCTCCTGCACAAAGCAGGCCACAGAATCTTATCTACCCATTGCTGTAACAAACCCCTAACCTATGTCTGAGCTATTGAAGTCCTCAACTCATGGTTTCAAGACTTCAAGGTGCAGAGAATCCTCCAGCAAGTGACCCATGCCCCACACGGCAGGAAAAGGTGAAAAAACCCCCAAAGCCTCTGCCAATCTGCCCTGGAGGAAAATTCCTTCCTGACCCCAGATATGGCGATCAGCTAAACCCTGAGCATGTGGGCAAGACTCACCAGCCAGACACCCAGGAAAGACTTCTCTGTAGTAACTCAGATCCCACAGTATCCTAGAGGAGGAACCTGCAAGAGACTCTGCCGAGGAGCCAGAGGGGGAAAATAACCTGGGCATCTACGAGACTCTCATCCCTGGCTCAACAGTCTTGAGAGGATCAACTGGGTCCAACAGGAAGAGGGGGATGGAGCGGAGTACAGGCCTGAGACTGGTCTGGGAAGGAGCAGTTAAAAAGCTTGGTTAGAGAAGTTAGGGTGGAATGAAGAGGACAAACCAGGCTGGAGGGGGTGAAGGATGGTGTTGGAGAGAAGAAACATGAGGCAGGGGTGTGTTGGGAGAACTTACAAACGAAGGGAGGTAAGGGAACAGTTTGGAGGCATAGGTGGGATGAGACGATAGCTTTTGAGAATTGGGGAGACCATGTACTAAGCGAGGGAATAGACGCTTACAAGCTCCTAGGGGGTGTGGCACTCCAGGCATGTTGACTTGGCCGAAGATGGATCATCTTGAAAACTGTACTGTAATACTAATTATTTTGTGTAGGAGTAGATGGCTTCTGGTTCAAAGAATTAGTTCTTGGCATGGCTGTACGAGTAATGTGTCCACATGCATGTGGACACTTGTCACTGTGCAAACTCAACAGAAATCCTAAGGAAAATGAAATGGGTAAAATCGCTTGTCTGTGTTGCCTAGTTGAATAGTGTGCTAGCAGGTAGTGCTTGATCCTTCGACCGGGGAGAGAGAAAAGGAGCAGTCTTGGGACTCAGTTTTAGCATGTTTTGTTGCAAACTAACTTTGTAAAATCGCTCTCTAGTTGTCTTGTCGCCTTTGAGGTCTTTCACTGCATGGCGTGGCTTTGTTCAGCATATTCAGATAAGTGGGTTGCTTCTGTATCGTCTTGTAAATCTCCTTTTTTTTTTTTTTTTTTTTTTTTGCGGAACCTACTCTGAACACAACCCCAAATGGCCCTAAAGAAAGCCCAGGTAAACCTGGTGACGATAAAGGGAGCGAAAAAACCACTGTGCTCAGATACCTAGAATCCTCAAGGTGGATGGTGGAGGCGTTGGTTTACACATTGAACTGGAGCATTCTGCACACTTACTTCAATTTGCGCTTCATAATATATAACAAAATACAGTTGTGCTCACCTGAATGCCCCTTATGCCCAGGTGTGAATTATAAGACTGAGGCTGGAATTAAATTCCTATACCTAGGTAGTAGTCTTGTCTCCCACCCAGAACTACCTCTTCCTTAATTCCTTTTTCCCCCACTCGTCTGTATGATAATACCCACCTGCTGATGGCCACTCACTCAATATATCTCTCTAAAATGCCAGCTGTATGAAACTGTCAGTCTGAATTCTGCACAATAATGGCACAGGCAGCTACAGGCTTAACTGGTAGTCAAGTGTCAATGATGAGAATTCAAAAATTCTCAGTGATGAATACAGATCCGATGAGATGTCTACTCAGTTCACTTTTTGTTCCGTAAGTAACGGTTAGGCTTGAGTTGACTGATCCTCTGGTAATGACAGCAGGAGTATCAAAATAAAAATACCACTCTTCTCCTGTTTCTGCTCTGCTCCCAAATAAGTACAGGTTGGCAAAGAACCTGGTGTCACTAATCCTGTGGTTACGTGTAGAGGCCTGTTTTGTGGTAGCTGATCCAAACACCGCACCTCTAGTGACTTTTGCTATAGGTAAAAATTTGGCTGACCAGTGCAGAGTTTGTGTGCAGTGTTTTGTTGTAGCCATGTTGGTGCCAGGATATTAGAGAGACAAGGTGGGTGAGGTAATATCTTTCATTGGACCAACTTCTGTTGGTGAGGAGAGTCAAGCTTTCAAGCTTCCCCAGAGCTGTTCTTCAGGTCAGTGCAGAATTTGGCAGCTGAGATCCTGAAAGTGTCTGGAGGGGAGGGCCCTCTGGTCTCAGAAGGATGCATAAGAATTCTGCAAATGAGAGCATTCATTCATAATAGAGGAAATCTTTATAGAGGTTTTGCCCTGTCAATTCTCAGGTCTGTCGTCATGTCTCTATTACAATGTACAAGTAATAGGCAGCTTTTCCAGGTATCCTTTCTTCTTTCAATATTGGATTATCTAGGGGTCAGATCCTGGTTTCCAGTATGCCTTATAAATTCTGTAATTTGCATGATGGTATTAATTTGAGTCTATTTGTTTAATTTAGCGTGTGGTTTAAGGTACTAAATGTTGCACCAATAGGAATCAATGGATTCCTATAGTTATTTGGCATTCATGTAATGTGTCACTTCAGCTCACCTTGCACTTTTTTTCTTTCTAGGGCTGAACACTGGTACCGTGATTGCTATTGGTAAGTAATCTAAAATTTTAAAAAATAATTCAATGCATAGACTTTACATGGTAAGATATGGTAATAGCATAAAGTATTTATGTTCCACTTCATTTCAAGCAATTTTTTCCCCGCTGCTTCACTACGTGAGGCATCTACTCCGGGTGAGAGAGTTTTTCTGTTACTGTATTATGTTCTGTCGAGTGGTGCCATGTAAAAGCTCATGAGGCAGATGCTTGACTTATTAATGTTCTTTTAACATAGGATGTTTAATGTAGGACTTTTGTGTGTAATACTAGAAAGAGTTGCCCTTAAATATCCATCTTACCCTCAGCCCATCTCCTCGGCAGCCTGAGGGTGTGGGTGGGGGAACACGGCAGAGGCTCACTGCATGTAGTCACTTTTGCACAACTTAGTAAGTTCAGCCGTTAGATTAAATTTTCAGTATATTACTTTAAAATAGGTTTCTCAGCTTCTACAAATCACTCCCTTTACACAACCAAGGACAATGAAAGCTCCATTTTTAAACTGTAGATCCATGTAAAAAGGAAAAATCGGGGCGCGTTCAGCTTGGCCAGTGGGAGGGAAGGGGGTGGGGATGAATGGTGGTTTGAAACGTAGTGTGTGTGTCTACGCTGGAGCTGTAACTTTGAGCTCGGGTGCAGACATATCTGCGTTAGCGCTGATTGAGCTGGAGTGCTGAAAACACAAGCGTGGCTGCAGTGGCACTGTACTTGGATGGCTGTCTTGCCCCTCGTGCCGCCACAGCTATGCTTCTGTTTTCAGCATGCTAGCACGGAGCTATGTCTGCCCGAGCTGGAGACTCCAGCTCCAGCATGGACACGGCCTTAGTGTTTCTGTCCCAATCCCCCAACCCAAAGTGTCTTCTCTCTTTTGATTTTCTTCTCCCATTAACAAAATAGGAATACTTGAGTTACCCTCAAACTAGGTGTGCGACCCAGAGCCTTTTCCCTTGGACCCCAAGAGATTCAAGCCCAGAATGTCTTCAGAAATGCCTGCAACTCTTTCAGGCTTGTAAAATGTGAATATGGCAAACTAAAAACGTAATCCTATTGATCTGCTGTTCAAGTTCTGCTCGCTACAGCGTTCACAGTGAAGATTTTGTCTTGCTGCTAATTAATACTGTGTAAAAGCTTTTAAAAATGGCTTTAAAATGAAAAACTACCATTTAAAATCAAGTTCCCTTAGGCGCCATAGTTTCTGAAGTGCCTTTTGATTTGCACCAAGATCTAGTTTGTCTAAATTTCTTTGTGTTTAGCCCTGACTTTGCAAGAGACATCTTAGATGCTGTGAAGCCTGCTTTTTACTGTTTTACAATTTTTAGAAATGGAAGTATTGCTTGTTACCTGTGTAGGCAGAGACTCAACTCTACCCATCCACATCATACACATTCTTAGCTTACAGGATATTTCAACAAAGCACCTACCTAATATCTTTTGTAGGGTAAATGAGAATTCTGATGCTGAGGCTTATTTTGTCCTTAATCTGTAAGCAAAGGCCAATGATCATAAGCCTTTAACAACACATGGTGTCCCATGTCGTGTCTAAGCTAATGAGATGTGCAGCATCCTACAACTGTTAACTTAGAACTGTCTCCAGCTACACAGGTAACTGACTTGAGAGATCCTTTCTGCTTGCTATCACTTTTATCTCTGTTGGAGGAAAAGATACTCGCATTTAAAATGGGCTATTACTGCCAGAGTAAAAGAAATCCAGTATCAAGAAGACTTGCAAGTAACATGTTGCTATGTAGTCTCTCTGACTATGAAAAATAAGGACTTGCTAGGATTTAACTGGGAACAGTTTTGAAAGAGAAGTATCCTAAATGAGGTAACTCGTTGTCCTATAAATTTTAACCAGAGTTGTCTATTAAATAGGAAAAGACACACATATTAGAGAAGAAAATTGTCTCTTGTTTTTGTGTTAACTTAATCCCAGAGACCGTTTGCTGTCTGAAAATGTAAAGCCATAGGTTTTTCCAGTGGTTTAACTTCAGTTTTTAGGAAACAATTTTAAAAGCTTTATACCTGTCTTTAATTAAATTGCATATTGACCAATCATTTGCCAAAACTATTAATAACTGTTTTCAGTGTTTTCTAGGAGAGCAATATGCTTAAATAAATCTGAGACTTCATTCAGTAAAGGGGTTCTAGCACGTACACTAATTATAAATGAACCCTATAGACCCAATCATGTGAACCTGAGGCTTGACAGACCTGTTTGCTGCAATCCCCTGGGGATGTTTGATTGGCAGAAATATGAATATTAATATTGATAAGAGGCATGAGTTAAAACTGTGCCTCCTTTCCAAGGGGCACAGCTGGGTATCTTGCATATAGGTTTTTACCTTGTGTGGGATTTCTTTCACAATTGAGTTTTAATAGAAAATTGTACATAAAATTTTAGAAAAGATTTTTGGATTTGAACATTCTCTTAGAGTTTGCAACACACTGCAATGCTTCATTGTGCTAGTGCTTAGAAAGTAAAAAGAAGAAAAAAATCCCTATGTGCATTGAAAGAAATGCAAAAGTAAATAGCATTAACTAGTTTTTTTTTAAAAAATCTTTCTTTTTTTAATGATATGGAAATAACGTGTAAGGATTTTTTTAAACCGCTTAACCTCACGAATATAGAATTATAGAAGGGGGTGTGTGGCTGGGGGGAGTCTGTCGAATCTTCCTGTCCCTGCAAAGGCAGGATTGTTCTCTGCAGTACTTTTCTCTACCATTTTAGTCCATGCTAGTTTTAAAAGTTCCAGGTAATAGGGCTTTCACTACTTCCCCCTGCCCTTCCCCCCCACCCTCCCAAAAAAATCCATTGCTGTCAAAAAATTTCCTAATATTCAGCATCAGTTTTCTTCGGAGTTCTAATGATACAAAAAGCCTCCTTTTAAGGAAGCAAAAGCAACTTTGATTTTTACTCTTGAATTCTGGAGTCATATTTTATGGAATTAGTTTCTCTCCTTTCCTGCTCTTGAGCCCATATGATGCAAAACAGCGCTTCAGTGATCTACAGGAATGTGGAAAAAAACCTTGCTTGGGTCCAGAAAGGTGTTTTAATAGAAAATATTTACTTCAGTGTGAAAAGATGGTGCGGTTCTGATGAACCGTTATCTGCAAGAACATAATATAACTATGCAACATATCAAATTGAGACTATAAATTACTTTCTTAGGTTACCTTTGTTCTGTGGCCTGAACAGATATGTTGAATGTGACACTTATGTGAATATCCGCTAAATTCTCCATTTCTATGGAACCATTCTGTCAACCACAGCAGTTATGAATGCATTGTGTACCTTATGTCCTTGTGATGTAACTTGTCATTAACAGCTCTGTCTTAACACATTTAAACGTTACTTCAGTATATTACCATTTTGATGATATAAGAACAAATATTTTCTCCAGAAGAATATTAATGCTACAAAGCCCATGTTGGACTTTCATTTCTGGTGTAAGGTTGCAATTCTATCCTTAAATCCGAGACTTCATTCAGTAGAGGAGTAGCAGCATACAGACTTTACGTTTCAACTTTTAGCTGATACAATTTTGTGTGCGGAGCTCTCCAGCAGGCAGGAGATGTTAAACAGATCTCTGCTGAAGAAGAGCTCAGGTGGTGTGGGTGTGTTTCGTAGTGGGTTCACTGTGAAACCGTGGGCCCTGACAGTGTACAAAAGTACTGTTGACTCTTCAGTAGTACTGTACGTGGTATTCTTGGGGTGTACAGTTGAATGAGATTCTTGTACAATGTGAGTGGTCAGTGGAAGAAACAAATATGTCCTAAAAGAGTGTTATGTTATAGATGACCCCCTTGCCTTTCCAGTGCTCTAAACAGCTGAGCGTTACGGGGAGGGAGCATAGATAGTCCAGTTCTCCTGTATTTAGGATATGTAATAACTAGCTTACCACTGTTTGCCAACTTTGATTACAGATTAATCCTCCTCATGAATTTTTTTCTACCTCTCTTCTGTTTTGGACATGGCCTCTGAGAAGAAACAGCATGAACTGTGCTTTAATTGGAAATGAATTTATAATTGTGTTAATGTAACTCTAAAATTAACTAAACAAATCTTTCAGACAGAATGTAAAATGAAAACTCTCATTATCCTAAACATGGGGAGTGAAATCAAGATATTATGCATTTTTACTTTTGGTTATAACTTTCTTTCTTTTGGTTTTTCAGGAAAGATGCGTGTCATTCTTGCCGTGCTGATTTCTAACTTGTTCATCAGACAGTGAATGTGATATTGGAAGAAAATGGAAAAATTGAAGCAATCGTCATATGCTTGTACTAAACTTTTCTCGTGATCCCAGATTCCTCTCATTACAGTTGTGTTCAGGGTTGTGGATTTTGCTGTTGCGAGCGAGAGCCTGTTGAGATTTCTATTTGGAGGTTTCTATTTTGAAGTATGTATTATCCCTTTTAAAGTACAGATTTAATGATGCCAAAGATACTCCTTGAACTGCTGTCGGCTTTTGTTTAATTCAAATTTATCCTCAGTTTCAAAATCAAATCTCCAGAATAATCAGTGTTCCTTTTGCTCTCATGTCCAGGAAACTCCAAAAACAACAATAACAGACAGCCCCAAACTACTCTTACCCCAAGGCTTATATTTAGTGTGTCCTCAGTGTAGCATCCCAGGGTGAAGTGCATGGACGTGTGCAAGACTCAGTGTGGATTCTGAACACCTATCAAATTTTTTAAACCCGTATTGAGAGGCAAAATAAATTACCTCTGTTTCCTTATGAACGCTTTCTGATAAGTAAGCAGTAAAATGGTTATACTTGTGATCAGATTCTTCTGATTCCGTGCCTAAAGGAAATGTCTTTATTTTTCTATTTCAGTAGTTGAAAATAAGTTGTTGGTAGCATTTAAAGCAAGCTTGTTACGTTCAGGAAATAATTCTCTGCTGTGAGAAGGTGTTCATAGCCAAATGCTGTTTGTCACTGTCACTGAAAACATAAATTATTTGTAGTTATGCAAGTTGTACAGAATTTTACTTGGCAATCTGAAAATTTATTAAATGAACAAACTGGAATTTCTGTGTTGTACTTAAGTCTTTTTTTTTCTCTGAATAAAAGTCTGTACAAAGACTATAGCATCCTGACTCTCTCGATAGCGATGTAAAAATGTGGTTGACATCTACCCCTCGACTGTGATCTGGACACTAAGTGCTTTCAAGAGCAGATGAAACTAGTACTTCTTTTTGCACCCCACCCCCCCCCCCCCAAAAATCCATGATTTCCTAGGGCATGGGTCTTTCTAGCAAGGGGTAGCACTTTGTCAGCCTTGTAACAATGCACTGCCAGGAAACTACAAGGTACTATCCAAACTGAATAAGAGTGTGATAGTATTACCCACACACCACCTGGGTGTGGTGTTGTGTCCCATCTAGTGGCACAGAGACGGCTTAGCCCTGGTCTACACTAGGACTTTAGGTCGAATTTAGCAGCGTTAAATCGATGTAAACCTGCACCCGTCCACACAATGAAGCCCTTTATTTCGACTTAAAGGGCTCTTAAAATCGATTTCCTTACTCCACCCCTGACAAGTGGATTAGCGCTTAAATCGATGTTGCCGGCTCGAATTTGGGGTACTGTGGACACAATTCGATGGTATTGGCCTCCGGGAGCTATCCCAGAGTGCTCCATTATGACCGCTCTGGACAGCACTCTCAACTCAGATGCACTGGCCAGGTAGACAGGAAAAGAACCGCGAACTTTTGAATCTCATTTCCTGTTTGGCCAGCGTGGCAAGCTGCAGGTGACCATGCAGAGCTCATCAGCACAGGTGACCATGATGGAGTCCCAGAATCGCAAAAGAGCTCCAGCATGGACCGAACGGGAGGTACGGGATCTGATCGCTGTTTGGGGAGAGGAATCCGTGCTATCAGAACTCCGTTCCAGTTTTCGAAATGCCAAAACCTTTGTGAAAATCTCCCAGGGCATGAAGGACAGAGGCCATAACAGGGACCCGAAGCAGTGCCGCGTGAAACTGAAGGAGCTGAGGCAAGCCTACCAGAAAACCAGAGAGGCGAACAGCCGCTCTGGGTCAGAGCCCCAAACATGCCGCTTCTATGATGAGCTGCATGCCATTTTAGGGGGTTCAGCCACCACTACCCCAGCCGTGTTGTTTGACTCCTTCAATGGAGATGGAGGCAATACGGAAGCAGGTTTTGGGGACGAAGAAGATGAGGAGGAGGAGGAGGAGGAGGTTGTAGATAGCTCACAGCAAGCAAGCGGAGAAACCGGTTTTCCCGACAGCCAGGAACTGTTTCTCACCCTGGACCTGGAGCCAGTACCCCCCGAACCCACCCAAGGCTGCCTCCTGGACCCAGCAGGCGGAGAAGGGACCTCTGGTGAGTGTACCTTTTAAAATACTATACATGGTTTAAAAGCAAGCATGTGAAAGGATTACTTTGCCCTGGCATTTGCGGTTCTCCTAGATGTAGTCCTAAAGCCTTTGCAAAAGGTTTCTGGGGAGGGCAGCCTTATTGCGTCCTTCATGGTAGGACACTTTACCACTCCAGGCCAGTAACACGTACTCGGGAAACATTGTAGAACACAGCATTGCAGTGTATGTTTGCTGGCATTCAAACAACATCCGTTCTTTATCTCTCTGTGTTATCCTCAGTAGAGTGAGATATAATTCATGGTCACCTGTTTGAAATAGAGTGCTTTTCTTCAGGGGACACTCAGAGGAGCCCATTCCTGCTGGGCTGTTTGCCTGTGGCTAAACAGAAATGTTCCCCGCTGTTAGCCACAGGGAGGGGGGAAGGTTGAGGGGGTAGTCACGCGGTGGGAGGAGGCAAAATGCGACCTTGTAACGAAAGCACATGTGCTATGTATGTAATGTTAACAGCAAGGTTTACCCTGAAAGACTGTAGCCACTGTTTTATAAAATGTGTCTTTTTAAATAACGCTGTCCCTTTTTTTTTTTCTCCACCAGCTGCATGTGTTTCAATGATCACAGGATCTTCTCCTTCCCAGAGGCTAGTGAAGCTTAGAAAGAAAAAAAAACGCACTCGTGATGAAATGTTCTCCGAGCTCATGCTGTCCTCCCACACTGACCGAGCACAGACGAATGCATGGAGGCAAATAATGTCAGAGTGCAGGAAAGCACAAAATGACCGGGAGGAGAGGTGGCGGGCTGAAGAGAGTAAGTGGCGGGCTGAAGAGAGGGCTGAAGCTCAAATGTGGCGGCAGCGTGATGAGAGGAGGCAGGATTCAATGCTGAGGCTGCTGCAGGACCAAACCAGTATGCTCCAGTGTATGGTTGAGCTGCAGCAAAGGCAGCTGGAGCACAGACTGCCACTGCTGCCCCTCTGTAACCAACCGCCCTCCTCCCCAAGTTCCATAGCCTCCACACCCAGACGCCCAAGAAGGCGGTGGGGGGGCCTCCGGCCAACCAGCCACTCCACCACAGAGGATTGCCCAAAAAAAAGAAGGCTGTCATTCAATAAATTTTAAAGTTGTAAACTTTTAAAGTGCTGTGTGGCATTTTCCTTCCCTCCTCCACCACCCCTCCTGGGCTACCTTGGTAGTCATCCCCCTATTTGTGTGATGAATGAATAAAGAATGCATGAATGTGAAGCAACAATGACTTTATTGCCTCTGCAAGCGGTGATTGAAGGGAGGAGGGGCGGGTGGTTAGCTTACAGGGAAGTAGAGTGAACCAAGGGGCGGGGGGTTTCATCAAGGAGAAACAAACAGAACTTTCAAACCTTAGCCTGGCCAGTCATGAAACTGGTTTTCAAAGCTTCTCTGATGCGTACCGCGCCCTCCTGTGCTCTTCTAACCGCCCTGGTGTCTGGCTGCGCGTAACCAGGAGCCAGGCGATTTGCCTCAACCTCCCACCCCGCCATAAACAACCTCCCACCCCGCCATAAACTGACTTACAGCGTTAGTGTAGACCAGCTCCCAGTGTACACAAGGCCACCAATGGCGGTAGCATTGGGAAGCTTAGTGTAGATGGGCCAGTTGGTGCTTTTGGCATTTTAAACACAATTAATGGTGTTTTCAAAAGAGCCCAAGTGAGTTAAGGAGGAAAAGTCCAATTGAAAGTTGTTGTGAGCTGACTTAAGATGAAGGGGGGAGTTGATGTGAGTCACATTAGCTGTCTGTCTCTGTTCCGTAGCATAGTGATTCTGCTCATAACTTTCCATACACTGAGGTTATGAAATGGAAATAGTTGAAAAACCACTTTAAGGTGGAGTTGAGGTCTCTCAACTGCAGGAAAATAGTAAACATTTTGTTTTTTTGTTTTTGTTTTTGTTTTTTTTTCATAAAATGTAGAAATGCACCAAATTTGGTAAAGGTTAGTGAGGGACTGGGATGGTGAAGTGAAATACTACTAGTTCAGTCTGGCAGTGAGGTGTGCTTAGACTAAAATTTCTGCAGGCAGTAGGTACTGTGTGGGGCTCATTATCTCTTACCTTGCTGGTCACCCTGTGCTGCAGCTGTGTGTGCGTGTGTGAGATCATTTTTAAACACATAAATGTAGTAGTTTTTTCACAACTGGTAAAGCTTTCACTTGCTTTTTAGCATAACAATGTCGCCGTCTTTCCATGACTCTGGGTGTATCGGTTGGTTCTCGACATGGCTATCCTCCAGCAGTCCCTCGGTTGCCATGTCCTCGTATTCACTCTTCTTCCATTCCTACCTATAAAAAACAAAAATATTTAACCATAAATAGTTATAAAACATGTTGTAATTTTTCATCAATTTGTTATCAAAATGGCCTTACCTCCACCGTCGAGTCTGCTTCCTCCAAAGCCAGCAACACATTTTTTCGCACGCGATCTTTTTTGTCTTTTACAACTGGCCGTGACTCCATAAAGTCTTCTTCCTGTTTCTTCAGTTCAATTTCAGGATGAAAGGCAGGGTTCGGCAACAGGTCTGCCTCTTTCGCAAAATAAGTGTAAATGGGTCGTCTTTTCTGAACGTGAGCTGGTGCACCCACGGGCAATTCCAGCTTCTTGGCATCTGGAGGCGTCTTGTAGAAGGACATGACCATTGTCTCGGCTACCGGTTTTAAAACTGCCGTTCGTAAAAATACCGGTTTTGTACACATGGTCAAATGCTCGTTGGCTAGAGGTTTTTTCAAATAATACACTTCACGATCGTCCTTTTTTGAAAGGCTCTTCTTTTAGAATCTTGGTATGAAAGGATTGGTTCAAAAAGTGCATTCTGTGACATAGCTGTAAAGCAGCTACGGATGGGTCTACCGAAAGACAGGGCTAGCTCCCAAGGGTCACCTCCAAGAACAGCTATCATTTCACTACCGACAGTTGCTGGAGTAGGACGTTTCGCTCTGCATGTGTTCAGTAACACAGCCTCTCTTATTGCTTTATTTTTTTTCTAAAACCTTTTTTCTTTGCCCTGTGCTTATTTTTTCCTTTTTTTCCTCTAAACCTAACGAAAGCTTCCTTTTTTAATCTTTACGCTTTCTCACTCTCTTCTTTCAACCTTTTTTTCCTCTAAACAATCCACCAAATGTATCCAAGCACAAGCATGCAACATTCCTCCTATTCAAATGTAAAAAATAAAAATTCAAAATGGCTGACGGTGCCAAACCGTGACACCAATGGGACTGGAGGGCAGGACATAGGTTTCCACACCCCATTTAGGACTTATCAAGCTGTATGCTATGGTTATAGAACACCGATGGGACTTCCTTGCATAGTCTTTGACACTCATATTCTGGCCTTCATGGGACATAAGCATGTGACTAATTGCAAGAAGTCGTAGGGCCATTAGCATGTGCAGTAGTGTTCTGCAGAGTCAGCTGCTTCATAAACAGAAGGCAATTTTTGTGCCTTCCCTGAATCAAGAGAGAAGTTCTTTCAGTTAGTCATGATAACAAGTTCTAACTTCGCATGGATACGGTTGTTCTGTTTTGAACTCCATGAAGCAATGTTGAATTTCTGATACTGTTCATCCTTTTGTAGAAATAAGCTTCCATTAGTGGATAAAGCATCATAAATAATTTTCTGGATATTCTGGTCCTGGGGGGCGAGGAGAATCTCTGTCATCGAGTTTAAATGAGGAAAAGAATTTTTATTTGCCTAAAATCAGGATTCCCGTGGGACAGATAACAGGAAATTGCTTGACAAAATGCATAATTAATCCATGGAACTCGGTGCCATGAGACTCTGAAGTAAAGAGTTTGGTAGAATTCAAAGAAGGATGAGACACTCAAACTCTTGTCCTGCAAACACTTAAAACGGTTTTTAACATCACTCGTGAACTATCCCCTACAAATCAATGGGTCTACCCAGGTAAATATAGTTATGCATGTGAGTGTTTCAGGGTCTGGGCCTTAATTTGGCAATATAAATATATGCACTTTGGATAATTTAGTTGGCTTACTCCTCTTTGGGACATGAGGGGAGCCATTAACTGTGGGGTTAGGAGGAATCTTTCCCTGTCCAGCTGGCCTCCTGTGGGCATAATTATCCATAATGGAGGTTTTACAGGTTTCTCTGTAGCTTCTGTGACTGGCCGTGGTCAGAAAGGAGATAAGACTAGACCAGGGTTTCTCAACCTGTGGGTTGGGACATAAAATAGGGTTGCCAGAAGACTTGTTTCAAAGGGTCACATGGCAGCTCCTGTGGCTCACCTCCCTGCTCTGCGTGCTACAATCTCTGGGATTCCAGCACCACTCAGGTTTGGAGCAGCCGTCATGACGACAGCAGCCTGGGTAGGCAGAGGTGGATTAGAGGTTTGTGGGGCCATGGGCCAGAGCAAGTTGGGGGGGCCCTTCCCACCCCTTCTACCTGCAGTCTCCCTGTTTTCCTCCCCAGGCACTTCAGCTGGGGAGCGGGGTGGGGGCATGGAGACTTGCCCTGCCCCACCCACCCGGCACGCCTGCAAGACCCTGCGTCCGCTCCCCAGCAGGAGCGCTGGGCAGGTGCATGGAGCAGGTCAGGGCGCTGGGGCACGCCTTTTTCTGGGGGGGCCCCAATTGTCCGGGGCCCCTTGGGCAAGGGCCCCATTGGGTCAGTGGTTAATCTGCCACTGTGAGTAGGCCAAATCTGAGCAGCGCTGCAACCCCATGAGCCAGGTCGCAACTCCACTCTCTCAAATTTGGTCCAGTCGAGGGGCGGGGGCCAAACTGTAGTGACGTTTCAAACCTGAAGGTTGCAATGACTGAAGCAGAGAGACCAGCTTAGCTAGCCCCTTGGCACAGGAACCACCACTGTGGGTGAATGCCAGGCAGGGACCAACCCTCCTGGGATGCAGGACCTGACTGAAACCACCCCAGGGCCTCCATGCCCAGACTGTTTACTGGGTCACGACAGGCCATAAACATTTACAAATGGGTCCTCAGCCCAAAAAAGGTTAACCACTGGATTGGATGATTGGCTTGATCTGCCATAGTATTTGCTATGTTAGGGGGAGCAAGTTAGCATATCCCTTTTTCTTTTTCCCATTAAGGTAATCTGAGGTAACACTAATATTCGTCTTGTTTTCTTCTAGGAAGACCATGTAAATCACTAGAACTACAAAATGGCAGGGTTGATTTAACCGATTTCCGGTTTGGTGCAACAGCCAACTTCTCCTGTAGTGAAGGGTGAGTGGCAAGTTGCTTTTTTTTGACTAATTAACAGAACCTAGATTGGTGTAAAACTGCTGGTGAAGTCTGGCAAAATGAGACTCAAAATTCTGCTTCATTTTAAGAACATAAATGAGTGGTGTGCTGTACATCTGTAGCCGTGGGCTGGGCCCTTGTTAAGAGTTACACCTGTGACTTTCAAAGGAGTTGAAGGATGCTACCCACCCGTTTATGGCTGTCCTTCGGTGGGAGCTGGGCACGTAACTCGCTCAGGTGCTTTTGGAAATCCCAGCCTGGACCTTCAAACGGTCATCCCAGCAGCTGCTGGATCATGAGTTCAAAGGGAAAGCCCCACCTGAAGAGTAATGTGGCACTCACTGATCGGTGCGGTCTCTGCCAAGTAACGGGCTGTTGTTGGTCAGTCCTAGTGTCTTGAAGCAGTGCTGGGATTGTGAGGCAGAATATTGCCCATAAAAGGCAGGACCAGGTAGAAGCAGACTTCTTCGGACTCGTGAATAATTATCAGGGTAGTGTCAAGTTCAGTTGTTGCTTTTGTCCATATGGGTTATGTAGCAACCCTTGGGGAATCATAAATGGGTTGTGACCTCATTCCAATAAGCGGGTGTTTTCTGGGTGTTGAGATAACTGAATAGATTGCATTGGATGGGGACCAAAAACACAACCAACCAAGTGCAGGTGTTTTTTCACTGTATCAAAACTTTAGCGGGCTTGACCTGTCAGCAGGGGTTAAGTCTTCTGGGAAGAAGAGTCAGATGTCTCTGGGTGGAAGCTGACCCCCAGTCTGAGGGAGGAGATATGGTGTGGGGGGCGGGAGGTGTAACTCCCTGCTGGTGGTTGGCTCGCCAAACCCCCTGCAAGTTAAATGCTTTTTTGTGTGGATTGGTTGTCAGCCTGGTTTCTGGGTGAAGTGGGTTGATCCACAGTTGAGGGATTTGTGGAGGTAGGGTTTCTTTGCACTAACCTACATGGACTGATGGCCTTGGATTTGTGCAGGCCCATGAGTTCCCTGGGTTTAGGATTAGGTTAGATCTTCGACAGTTAAGATGCTCAGATTTTGAATATGGAAGGGAGATGGGGTCAGGTGGGTGACAGCTCAGGGCAGCTGACTTCCCATCGCTTCTGTCAGGATGGGTTGTCTTTAGGTATGATTTTTATTTTACAAAACGTTGCTGGGGACGAAAGGTAAGGTGAGCTGCTTAAGCTGAGTCATTGACAACTGGGGTAACACAACTGGGCATTCAGAGAAGAGGTATCTAGTACTGCTGCAGATAAATCATAGTAATTCTAAGGTGTAAAATGGTGGCAGCTCGCATTTCAAACACTCTTCTACGTCTTAGAAACATAAGAGGAGGCACAGCCTCCTATCCAGCAAGTCCAAACCCTTTTTCCATGTGACAGCACCGTGAGCAGACCAGTGTCTAAAATAACATGGTTTCCTGGGCATTTATTAAGTTCTATAGTAGGGGTGATTAGAGCCCTCTTCCACCTGTTAGAGATATTTGCACTCCTTACTACTTGTATCTCCAGTTTAGAAGAAGGATCGCTTGTTCCCCTTTGCAGAGAATTAACCAGCATTCCCAAGCATCTGACTAGTGTAGACAAGAAGTGAGAGCACTCTCTTGCTAAGAGTTTATAGCTCTAGATTGACTTTACTTACTCTAGTGTTCCTTGGTCCTGTGGTGTTAGACCTATCCGGTTTTATAGCAGAGATGACCCTGATCAATCCTTTGTCTCCACTTACTGGCATAAAGAAACCATGTTCCATCTTTCTGATCTGTAACCCAGTTCTTTGATTACTTCAGTAACAAACTTTCTTTCTTTCTTTAGTTGCAGATTAATTGGACCGACTTGTGCCCCATGTGCGCTTGTGGGAGATTGCACAATTCAATGGTTTTAAGAACAGTTCACGTCTGGAGATGATGCAGCATAGCTGGTGCTACAGAGGAGTCTGTTCTTACATCTTTTAATCCAAATAAGAGTAAAACTTGAGGATGTATGTTTGGTTGGGGAGAAAATGAAATCCTACTGTGGTTCACCATGGTGTTTGGATGACTCCTATAGAATCAAAGCTTAAAAACAAAGTCCCTTCTAGATTGTTCACCTGGCGCTGTTTAATATTCATAATCCAACAGGCCTTATGGCACCTCTTCGCTGGTGTATCTGTGTAATCCCTGCTGTTTGCGAAGTAAAAGGCATGATGATGACTTCAAGAAGTCTTGACCCTTCCCAAACCTGACTACCCACTTAAAATCTGAGGCTCTTTGGGAATGAATCACAATTAATTTGCTTGTACCTTACTTTGATCTCTTGGCTGCTTTCTGGGCTTGGTCTGTCAATATTCCTCCTGTGTCATCACTGACTAACCAAAGAGCCTTTTATTGCCCTGATAGAAAACTTTGAGGATGTTGGTGCTTAGTCATCATATTCATGTCAGTTACTCATTCTTTGTTTCAATCTGCACTTATTGCCCAGTCTCAGGTGTGAAACCTAAGGGCTCAGTTTTTGCCCCTAGAGTAGGGTGACCAGACAGCAAATGTGAAAAATCGGGACGGGGGTGTGGGGTAATAAGAACCTATATAAGAAGAAGACCCCAACGTCAGGACTGTCCCTATAAAATCAGGATATCTGGTCACCCTACCCTAGAGCCGGAGCCACAAAGCGATGAAGTACCTGAGTGAGGGTGGCTGGAATCATGCAGCAGGACCCAATTCATCTCTCTGCTTTTCAGCCAAACAGTCCATGGATCTGACAGCTCTGATGCATCCCTGCAGGGATTTCCAGTACAGTGTGTCCTTGGGGCATTTCCAGGGGCATGGACATGTGGCTGGACCTGTGCTGCACTACGCTTATTCCCAGCTTCTTGGTCACAAACACAGCCCTGCACAAGGTAGGGTAGCTAGCTTGCAGGCCTTTGGCAGAGACATGGAAAATGAAAGCCTTACACACTGTTCCCATCACAACCTTTTCTTGTTTGCGTCAGTGCTAAGGGTGGCTCTTTAAGTCATCTCCACGCAATGAGCTATGTACGTAACTAGTTTTGCATAGTTTAGAGTACAAGGTTACTATTTGCACAAATGAATCCTAGGGAGTGTTTGAATCTCTGCCTCCCCTTCATGTTTCACAATACTTAAGACAATAGCCATCCCTCAAGCAAGGTTCCTGGAAATGAGTTGTTATACTGAGATTTTTCCCCCCCCCCCCCCTTCAAAACGGTCATTTTTCAGATTGGACCATGACAAACCCCACTGCCTGAAATAAAGCATTCTTCCATGGTAACAGATGCTTTGCAGATCACAACTGTCAAGGCTGAATCCCCATTCTGGCACCTCGAGTGCAGGAGGTGGGGGCCTGCAAGGTTTTTAAAAACTAGTACTTGCCCGTCCAGGCTTGTATTAAACTCCAAGGTTACAACTTTTCTCTGACCTTGGCTTGGTAAATGCTGCCACCAGCCCAAAAAAACCCCGTTGGACCCATCTCCCTCCCGAGCTAGCAATTGTGTCCGCAGGTGCAGTCTGCGGTGACCTTCTCAGCTTTTCTTCCTGTTGGCACTTTTGCCAAATCAAACACTGTGTAGGAGGGCGGCTATTTGTCCATCACTGTCCCCTGCTAAATTAAATCATTCCGTTTCTGAGCATACAGAAAGATGAGGCAAGGCTTTCATTTTCCATGTCTCTGCCAAAGGTCTGCACGCTGCAAAGCTAAAAGCTTTATCAAGAAGAGCTACTCTGAAAATTCATCACCACCCTGGGGCCAGCCAGACTTTAAAATCTCAGCCCCTGCAATTGATTTTTTCAAAAGAATTTGGCTCCTGTTTAGGCACCAAAGCCAAGGGTCAGGTTTCCAAAAGAGCTCAGCATCTCATATATACCACTCCCATGCTGCACTCTTTTGGAAAATGCAGCCTGAAGATATTTGGTTTTGATATTTCAGTTCCTTTGCTGATGAGGGTGGGGCGAGGCCTCCTGCGTGGTGCATTGGTACCTACCCACATGCCTTGTGGCCCACTGAAAATCTGTGTAGCCCCACCCAATGGCTGGCAGCGATGGCTTATCTGAGGCCCTGCTTCCATTCTGTGTATGCGACCTTATTTGGGTCAGGTGCAGTGGCTCCCGTCTGAGCTTGTCTTGATGGATCCCTTGTGAACCTTGACTGTGGTGGGCCCATGGGCGTTGCCTGTGTTGGGGGCTGGTGCAGGAGTAATGCCAATGGGAGAGAGCCTGGGGCAGGAGAGGCCAGAATTAACAGTGACCAAGTACCCAGGGGACGAAAACATGCAAATCAGTGCTGCTGTGTTTTAAATGCACAACGGAGGAGCCGCAAAGAGCCAGCTCACGGTGCAACGTTAGCATGGCCAAGCCCTGAGGCAGTGGGGCTGGGGCAGTTGAACAGAATGTAAGGCAGCCTAGATGACTGGTGCTGGCGGAGAAGGCCTGCCATCCGAAGAGAACACAGCCAAGCACAGGAGGTGTCAGGGACCCTTTCTGAAAGGAGCTACCATAAAGCATATGCTGTTGGCTGCTGTGATCAAAGTGGGCTTTACCCACTTATAGTAGGGTAGGCTGCCTGTTGTTGGCTATGTGTGTGTTGTGCTATCCCAGCTCTGTGCAGCTAGGGGACACAGCAGACCTCGATCGAATTGCCCAATTAAACCACAGCCCCGTTTCAGTAGCAAAGGCACCTAGCCAGGTTTATTGTTGACAAAGCATGGTCCTAGCTCCCCAGATCAATGTCTACAGTTACGCTAGCACATGTATGCCTGTAACAATGGACCGGCTCAGTGAATGGCAGGACTTTAATAGGCAGCAGATTTAAAACAAACAAAAGGAAGCATTTTTTTCACACAATGCACAGTCAACCTGTGGAACTCATTGCCAGAATATGTTGATTCAAAATAACTAGATAAGTTCATGGAGGATAGGTCTATCAATGGCTATGAACCAGGATGGATAGGGATGATGTCCCTAGCCTCTGTTTGCCAGAAGTTGGGAATGGGAGACAGGGTATAGATCACTCGATGATTACCCATTGTGTTCATTCCCTCTGGGGCACCCGGCATTGGCCGTTGTAGGAAGACTGGATAGTGGCCTAGATGGATCTTTGGTCTGACCCCTTATGGCCATTCTTATGTTCTTACGACTTTCCGTTCCCTCCTCGGCCAGACAAAGACACTCCCTCTGAGACCCTTCTTTATACACCGATACAAACACATTACGTATTGCCCCTCTGACCTGGTTAGTTACTACCCTTTACCTTGTACATGTTGGTTCAGTCAAACGCCTCTTTCCACCAGTGTCATCCTGTCCTTATCTCTAGGAGGGGTCAACATGTTCCTTTTATCTTTGGGGAGTGCATTTGTAGCTTACTTAATATGGGGGGTTCTGGTACCACCACCCTTCTGGAATGTGTTTCTGTGAGTGTCCTGTGCCTAGCACTTCTTAGGAATGTGTGTGGTTTTGCAATACCAGCCCTGTTCTTTCAGGTTCTGTGAACTTGCAAGCAGGCATGTTTTATAACAGGGCCAGATCACTTTTGCTAACTTTGCTTCATATCAGCAGGGCCTGACTACTACTTTAGTCCAGGGCTCTGATACCAGGCCTCATGTTTCAGGCTCTCCCTTTCTACTACACCTGTGATGGCCTGTCTTCCTATGCTGTGAATACAGGGCCAGATTCTCAGCTGGTGTAAATAGGCACAGCTCTAACTTCACTAGGGCAGGGCCAATTTATATCGGCCGTGAATTTAGGCAACACTCTTTGCACTGTAGTTTCTGTCTCCTCCCAAATTCAGACTTCGGCATCTTCTTTGCACTTCCCCTCCCATTTTTCATCTTGCGTAAAAATCACAATTCTTTTGGCACTTCTCTGGACAAGTCTCACCCATCCCCATCTAAATTAAGCCATTCCATTTCCCGTCTCAGTCCAGAGACAAACGTTGTGTAACGTATGCATCTCTGCCAAATACCTGCATGCTCCAAAGCGAAAACCTTTTATCAGGAAGCAGTCAGCAAAGGAACAAAATCCAAAGTGCTGTATGGTTTTGGTATGTCAGTTCTTTTGTTGCTTTTCTGTTTTGCTGGAGGTGAGAGAGACTGTGGGTATGTCTTCACTCTACGTTAAAGCGCTGTCGGGCAGATCGGGAAGCTAAGGGCAGCTGAGCTTCTTTAGGCTGAAATCCCTGCAAAAGACTCTCTGGCCATGGCTGCTTTAAGAAAACTGCTCACCGCTGACAATGACCATGGTCTCTGAAATGGTACCAAAACCACAATTTGCCTAATTTATACTTAGTTAACTATGCTTAACACTGGTTCAGCTGCAACTACTGCTACCCCTATTGTCAGCAATGGATACACTAGGCCTCAAAGAGGGAGAGACGAGAGAGAAGGTGGCTGTGCTGACCAGAACCAGGGCAGGGAGCTCAAGGGAATCATTTGAGCTACCAGGCTACGTGGTTTGTACATCTGGTTTGGTGGTTTTGCGTTAACTGCATAGCAGAAATGTGCCTCTATAGACCTTTGTCAGATCAGTGTCAGTTCAGATCAAACCCAACCTCGAGAGGGTGATTTCTGTGTTCATACGTGCGTCTCGGGTGCACTTTCCCTCGCTGGCCCTGCAATAAATACTACCCAGTAAAACTGACTGTATTCCCTGGAAAGCAGATAAAGGTGCTGACGCACTCTCAGTTTATAACCTGCAATGGGGTTGGGCTCATTGCCGATGGCATTGAAACACAACACAAACATTAATAGACTTATCCCTGCACCTCCCCAGAAGGGAGGTACGTTGGTCTTATATCCAGGTTAGAGATTAGGAACCTGAGGCACAGAAAGATTCAGACTTACTCAAGTCCACATGGCGAGTCTGTTGGAGAACTGACAGCAGAGGGGAAAGAAACACTAATCTCCTGTCTCCCAGTCCGCTGCCTGAACCATAAAGCCATCCTTCTCCCCACGGCACTCCTGGGGTCTAGCTTGTGTCATCCTTCTCTTTGGGGAATCTGCATGTCTGTCTCCTAGGAGATAATTTGAAACATGTAACTAATTATTTAAATACCTCAAACAGTGCTTTAAATGAAGGGAAAACATTACTCCAGAGAAGAGGCTCTGAATTAAATAGGAGAGGGTACTGCTGGTAAGAATCCCATTCTTTGCCTAAAACAGGGAGTGGAAGGAGGGTTTAACTGTTAAATAGAAGGGCATGTTGTAGATAGAACTAAGGAGCATTGGCACAGCCCTGCGGGAGCTTCTGCCAGGGACAGCAGGGGATTGACGGTGCTGACAAAGCTGCGTGGGGGAAGATTG